CTTTCTTAGCTTGTGTGAAGAGAAGCTCCCTAAACTGAAGCACATCTCTCCTTGATCCAGAAGGGTCTCTTTAAAAATTGTTTTATAGTTTATTTATTTCTTCCATATGAGACAGGGAGAGATGGGCACCCCCAACAGGGTCCTCATACCACAATAAACCCCCAGCCTCAGCCAGCCTGGATCATGGGCATGCTGGAGTCCCTAGCATGTACAGGGAGGCCCTAGGATGCAAGCTCAAGACCTTTCCACAGGGGTCCAGCCTGGCCCAGCTGTCAGACAGGCCACTGTCTGGCTCCTATCCCTGTCTTAATGGCCCAGTCCAAGATACAGCTACTGATCTCTGTGGAGGGTGCCATCAGCACCTGGCCTGAAAGAGTCAGGAGGCTCCTGTGGAGAGGATAACCAGGCTTGCTTTCTCTGCCCCTCTTCATGCAGAGCCTGTGCATCGAGAACAGCTGCATCGCCGCCCACGATAAGCGGGGAAGGTACGGAACCCTGTTCACCATGGACCGGGTGCTGACCCCCCCAATGGGGACTGTCATGGACGTCTTGAAGGGAGACAATCGTTTCAGGTAACCAGTCTCACCCTGAGGCAGGGCTTCTGCTAAGTGTTGATGCTAAGGCAGAACGTAAGATCTCAGCTTTTTGTCAAGCTCCCCCCTTCCTCAGGGGCTCAGTGGTGTGACCTTCCGGGCTAGGGACGAAGGTCACCTTGAAATAATACTTTAGAGAAAGGATTTTACTTCTGGGAATGTAACCACGTTAGAGAAAGGATTTTACTTCTGGGAATGTAATCCTCTCATCCACAGGAAGTGGAGAGGGGGATGACGTTTTTCTTACCAAAGTGCGAGGAAAACATCACTCTCTCGCCAGCTGAGAGCATGTGGTTTCCGGGGCGGCATCTCTGGCTCTGTGAAGAATCAGCTACTCTGGAGACCCCATGTCAGCCTGTTTTCTTGTCCCGCTCTCCATTTCTGACTTGCTCTTCACCATTAGGTGCTGTCTCACTGAGTGTTTCCCTGTCACTAATTCAGATGCCTACAGGAGTTGGAGACCACACGCCCACCCCAGAGTCACATTCCCAGGGCCCAGTGACTTGGCCAGTCTGGGTCAACCATGCCTCTTCTTCTTCTCTCTCCTTCCTCTGGCCCCTGACTCCCAGCCATTTAATTGACCTTAGCTTTATGCTGGGTGGAGAGAAGATGCCAACTGGAATAGTTCCCTCTCTAAGTATAGGGAGGGAATGAAAACCAGCAAGGTGTATGCCTTCCAGTGGTTGGGCTCCATGGCCCCCAGTGGGGAGGTATTTGAAAAACATGCCACTTACACCCCACTTGCCAGAGGAACTGACCTCTCTGTGTGTCTCTACAGCATGCTGGTAGCTGCCATCCAGTCTGCTGGGCTGACAGAGACCCTCAACCGGGAGGGGGTCTACACAGTCTTCGCACCCACAAATGAAGCCTTCCAAGCCATGCCACCAGGAGAGCTGAACAAACTCTTGGGTAAAGACCACCTGAAAACCAACCATGTCCACTTTTCTAAAGTGACTACTCATCGGGGTCCCAGCAGGAAGCAACTGGCACATTACAGAGGGGCTGGCGCAAAGGGATTTCATGACGGGATTCTGTAGAAGTGTACCAAGATGAAGGCAACCAGTGAAGGGTGATAACACCCAGGGATTAGCAACCATGGAAGCTGTTACCACCCCTAGGCCTGGGGTAGGGGGTGATGACAGAAGCCAAGGAGGGCTTGAGTCTTGGACGAAAGACAAAGAACAGCAGCCAGAGCCGTATATGGCCACACTCAGATCCATGGCAAGGGGATCTCTCCTTCCGCAGGATGGTGGCCTGCTGGGCCTCTTAGCTGATTGCAGGAAGGTGGCCAAAGAGCCTGGACAGCATGGCTCACAGAGGCCAACCTCCTGGGGCACCAAACCAGGCAGAGGAGAGCACCAAGGAACTGAGGTGGCTAGTGACCAGCTCAGTCCCTGAGACATGCTTTCTACTGGGGACCTGTTAGAAGCTGTGTACCTGCATGAAATGCTCCTCAGGATAGAGGAATTCCTGAGAACTTAGACCTGGCCCTGAGAAATTTCGTTGAGGCTGCTTGGGAGCCAATCTAATGGTTAAGAGCTTGGGCTCCTGAATTACCTGAAAACCTGGCTCTGGCATTCACCAGCTGTGTGATCTCTAGCAAGTTGCTTAACCTCCCTGAGCCTCAATTTCCACATTAGAAAAATGAAAATGGTACCTTACTCGCTGTGTTGTGAGAGTTAATGGGATGTTGCTCATCACAGGCACATAGCTTCAATCTGTTATAGCTTCGATGACAGTGAGGCAGAGACTGAGATATGTCATGAAAGATGCTTCCTCTGGGACCAGCAGTTAACATAATGGCTATGTTGCTGAACTCTCATGTAGCCGACCACGGTTCGAGTCCCGGACCCAGTGGCTTAAACTCGCAATGGGTGCATGTGCGTATGTGCCCAAGATCCCAAGAGGAGAATGGAGGAGAAGGGATTGCAGCGTGGCCATCCCCCCTGTGGGGTGATTTCTCGCTTTCTATCTCTGTGTCTCTCTCTGTCACTCTGGCGAGCACACGCGCCCTATAGCAAAAACCTCACACACACACACACACACACACACACACACACAAAAGACACTCTTCCTCTAACACAGAAAGGTGAGGCAGAGGAGAAAAGGAGGAGGAGGCGAGACCTTGGCCAAACCTGAGAGTGGGAGCTACATCTCCCTTCCCACTCTGGTACAGGAGAAGAGGAAGCTCAAGTTGCAGGC